ATTAGCGCTTATTATTATTATCATAGATTTTTTTTCTTTTTTTTTTTAGCTAATTTTTCTTTTTTTGCTTTTTTTTTTTGCTATTTTTTTTTGCTATTTTTTTGGTTTTTGTTATTATTTTTTTTTTAAGAGCTTAAACCGCGGCGCTGCCGTCAACTTACATCGCGGGATGGGGCCGGGTGATTTTAGCGTGGAGGAAAAAGAAATTGCAGGAAGGAAGGGAAAGCAACAAAAAAAAAATAAACAAACATAAGAAGAAAGAAAGAAAGAAAGAAAGAACGAAAAAAAAGAGAAAAAAAAGAACAAAAAGAAAAGAAGAGAAGAGACACTCGGTGAGAAGGTGCCGCCGGCCCAACCCCTGCGGCGCCAGCGGCCTGTGGCCGGGGACAACCAGACATCCGTCCATCCGTCCATCCATTCAACTGTCCATCCAACCAGACATCCGTCCATCCGTCCATCCATTCAACTGTCCAGCCAACCAGACATCCGTCCAGCCAACCATCCGTCCATCCATCCATTCGTCCGCCCATCCGCCCATCCGTCCGTCCATCCATCTGTCCATCCAGCCATCCATCCATTCAACCATCCATCCATCCATCCGTCCACCCATTCGTCCGTCCATCCATCCATCCATCCATCCAACCATTAATCCGTCCATCCGTCCATCCATCCAACCATCCGTCCATCCGTCCATCCGTCCATCCATCTATCCAGCCATCTGTTCAACCATGCGCCCAGCCATCCGTCCAACCATCCGTCCGTCCATCCATCCAGCTGTCCATCCGTCTGTCCATCCATCCGTCCATCCATCCAGCTGTCCATCTATCTGTCCATCCATCCATTCAACCATCCATCCATCCATTCGTCCGCCCATTCATCTGTCCATCCTTCTGTCCATCCATCCATCCATCCATCCGTCCGTCCAACCGTCCGTCCATCCATCCAACTGTCCATCCATCCGTCCAGCCATCCGTCCATCCATCTGTCCATCCATCCATCCATCCGTCCATTCATCTGTCCATCCATCCATCCATCTGTCCATCTGCCCATCCAACTGTCCATCCATTCATCCATGCATCCAGCCAGCCATCCATCCAACCATCCGTCCATCTATCCATCCATTCATCCATCCAACCATCCATCCATCCATCTGTCCATCCATCCATCCATCCATCTGCCCAATCGTCCATCCATCCATCCAACCATCTGTCCGTCCGTCCAAGCATCTGTTCATCCATCCATCCATCCATCCCTCCGTCCATCCACACATCAATTCATCCATCCAACCATCCGTCTGTCCATCCATCCAACCATCTATCCATCCGTCCAACCATCCGTCCAACCATCCGTCCAACCATCTGTCCATCCATCCATATGTCCATCCATCCATCCATCTGTCCATCCACACATCAATTCATCCATCCATCCATCCGTCCGTCCGTCCATCCATCCGTCCATCCATCCATCTATCCATCCAACCATCCGTCCGTCTATCCATCCGTCCAGCCAGCCAACCATCCGTTCATCCATCCAACCATCTGTCCGTCCACCCACCCATCCACCCATCCATCCATCCATCCATCCATCCATCCATCCAACCATCTGTCCGTCCACCCATCCATCCATCCACCCACCCATCCATCTCTCCACCCATCCATGGATCCGTCCATCCGTCCTTGAATCCATCTGTCCGTCCACCCCTGCGTCCGTTCTGCCACGGATCCACCCATGATGCCTTGAACCAGCCAATCTTCCAGGCATCCATCCATCCATCCTTGAGTCCATCCGTCCATCCATGGATCCATGGATCCATCCATCCATCCATCCATCCATCCATCCGTCTGTCCATCCAGCCTTGAATCCGTCCCTCCAGCTGTTTGTCCATCCATCTGTCTGTCCATCGCTAAATCTATCGTCAAACCCAACCATCCAGCCGTGAATCCATCCGTCCCTCCCTAAACCCCACCTTGAACCCACCCACCCCTGCATCAGTCCGTCTGTCCTTCCATCCATCCCCGCGTCCATCTGTCCTTCCATCCATCCCTCCAGCCAGCCCTGTGTCCGTCCATCCTCGGATCCATCCACCGCTTGAGTCCGTCTGTCCAGCTCTATGTCCATCTGTCCACTCAGCCTTGTGTTCACCCATCTGTCCATCTGTCCGTCCATCCCTCTGTGTGTCCATCCGTCCATCCATCCACCCGGCCTTCTGTCCGTGTGTCCACCCATCCAGCCTTAAATCCACCCATCGCTCCTTGAATCCATCCATCCATTGTCCATCTGTCCTTCCATCCATCCGTCCTTCGATCCGTCCATCTGTCCATCCGTCCTTCCATCCCTTGTCCATCCATCCTTCCATACACAGATCCACTGTCCATCTGTCCTTCCGTCCCTCAGCCATTGTTTCATCCTTCCCTCATCCATCATCCATCCATCTGTCCATCCGTCCATCCATGGATCCATCCTCCATCATCTGTCCTTCCTTCCATTCTCTTTCCATCCGTCCTTCCATCCTTCCATCCATCCTTCCATACACGGATCCACTGTCCATCCGTCCTTCCATCCATCCATGGATCCATCCATCATCTGTCCTTCCTTCCATTCTCCTTCCATTCTCCTTCCATCCATCATCCGTCCATCCATCCATCCATCCATCTGTCCATCCATGGATCCATCATCCGTCCATCTGTCCGTCCATCTGTCCATCCATCTGTCCATCCGTGGATCCATAATCCGTCCATCCATGGATCCATCCTCCATTATCTGTCCTTCCTTCCATTCTCCTTCCATCCATCCATCCACTGTCCATCTGTCCATCCATCCGTCCATCCATGGATCCATCCTCCATCATCCATCCTTCCTTCCATCCTTCCATCCATCCATCATCTGTCCATCCATGGATCCATCATCCATCATCCGTCCATCCATCCGTCCATCCATGGATCCATCATCCGTCCTTCCTTCCATTCTCCTTCCATCCATGGATCCATCCGTCCATCCGTCCGTGGATCCATCGTCCTCCAGCCGTTTCCCCCCTGTCTCCTGTCCGTGGTCCGTCCATGGTCCGTCCTTCAGTCCTTGGGTCCATCAGTCCTTGGGTCCGTCCGTCCGTCGCCCCCTCCTCCCCCCA